GGAGGAATTGAAAAAAATTTCTATGTATAAACTTTTATATTATGGTCGTCTTCTGCAACAACTGTTTAATATTTTTGTTCTATTTCTAGTCCTACAAACACATCTTAACATCAACTCTTAAGCAGTTAAATACTTTGAACAGCTGATTTCACAGATCGTTGATTGCTGTTAGTTACTCTTGTGAATAATGCATACATCTTGGAGCAGAAGGGTAGAATGTGGGTTTTTTTGGTTTTTTGGGGGGTTGTTTTTTTTTTTTTTGTCTAGCTAACTGAACATAATATTTATAGTGTTGGTTAATTACCTGTGCATGCTAGGATTCACAAAGGAAATTGCAGGTTATTAACTTCATTTGGTTTTTGCTTCAGGAAAAACTACCCACACCACTTAGATCCCTATGAACTGTAAGAATGAAAATTAATGGTAAAGGCTTGGACCTGCATGTTTTCCACTGATGATATGGCTCTTTGACAGATTTTTGGAAATAAACTTGGGAATCAAATAAAGTGAATTCAGCTGTAATTTGAAATGCTAGAAAATGTCAAATTGCTAAACTATAAACATGGAGGGATGCAAGTAGTTATGCAGTGGTAGTTATGATAGAACAATAGCCAAAAGGTAGCCAGTGAGGACTTCAGGTTTATCTTGACTAAAGTGACACTTCACCTAAATACAAATTTTCTGCATGTAATACAATGTTTAGACTTTGGTCTTTGTCTAGATGTGGTTTTGAAAGCATGTTAAAGCATGTTTATCACCACATCTGAAAGGTCTAGTGTAGACAAGTAAGGCCAAATGCACTTCTAGTGCATGTTAAACTGAACAAGTAAAAGCTCTGTAATCCAAAAGATGGGATTTGGGTTTGGTTATGCATGCCTAGACCAGCTTTTAAAATGATAGCTGGGTAGAGATAACCGTGGCGCAACGTGGAATTCAGTGTGTTTTGAAGACCTGGATTACTTGACTTTTGCACCCTTCATTGAACCTGCAATTCAGTGTTGCTGGTAACATAGCAAGCTACATAAAATGATGTCTTAGTGCAGGTGTTAGAGGGAAGCTGTACATTTAACTTGAATAACTTTATTGTACATGCCGCTTTAGCTAACGTGTTGGAGAGACCATTTCATATAGTAACATCTGGTCAGATCAATAGTTGGAGCTTTGGTCTGTTGATTGAAATCATGGTTTGCAAACTGTCTATCCTTCATGTAGTACACTATTTGCTTGTACAGGTTTAGTTAACTACCAGGGTATCATCCTTGTAGTTGTTGTAGCCTGAGGCTTGCCGAGGCTTTTTACAACTGAAATAACTGCTACACAGCAGACTAGATAGCAGAGGTGTTTGCTTTTGGTGTTTGAGGACTTCTAAATACAGTGAAGATGCTATCTACCAACTACTAGAGCAGTTACGATTAAAATGTCAACAGTTGTTATTTTTTCTGCAATTAAAGTAGGTCTTGTTTTCTGGTGACTGTTCTGCAAATGGCCATCATTTGGGCAATATTTAGTTTTAATTTTTTTTAATTATGTCATCATTTTGACAACACAGTGACTTGTTAATGTTGCATTTATGATACTAATGTGGGGCACTCTTACTGAATAACTTGCACATTTGCTTTAAGCAAGCTGCCGCATTGAGTTTTGGTAGTGTCACATACTCAGTTCACTTCATACACCATTTTGAACTTGCCTCCTTTGTTTTAATTTAGGGCTATTAGCATCTCCACAGTCAGCACCTGGAAACTTAGACACTGGGAAAAGTGGAGACGTTAAAGGTACTGGGACAGGAGGAAGCAGAGAAAACAGCACGGTTGATTTTAGTAAGGTAAATAACATTAAATACCTTAATGTTTAGTACAAAATAACAGTGTAACAAAAAATGTTGTGGTTGTAACTTCCCTCTTAGTTACAACTAAGACACGTATATATGCATGTGTACGAGTGTACACAAGACATGTACTAAGACATAACTTGTACATGCGAGTGTCAGAATATGGCATAGGCTAAATGTGTCAAATGTTTTGAAACTCTTCCCAGTGGGACTGAACTTTCTGTTTCGTTTGATCCTTTCAGTATTTTGGTAACTTCAAGAGTGCAGCCACTGTACTTTCTCATGCAGAAGGAGATATTTTCAGATCTGCTATAAAGACTCTTATGAAAACAATTTTGTAGGTGGTGGTGTAATGGTGTGGTTTTTTTTTTTTCTAGGAATGACTTTTTGGGTTGTTTTTTGTAAAGAGGGCTTTTAAAGGGGATTTGCTTTATATGTTTTATGAGTTTGCTGTTCAAAAGTTATTGTACTTCTTAATCATTAGGAGCATATAATACCATTTTCTGAAGGAAATCTTGTGTAATACTGTAAATCCCTTGTATTTCTTTCATAATTCAAATTTGCTGGGCAAGTTCCATTATGGCTTTTACTATAAAACTCAAGTCTGTAGTGTCATCTGTACTGTTGAAACACTGTAAGAAAATTTGTTTGCCAAGTTAAATAATTATGTTTAAGGAAAGCTAACTTACACTGTAGTTCTCATCTAATCATGGCAGGTGCCATATATTCCTGCTCCTCTGTCACAGTTTTTATGTTTTTGCTTGGCCTGTCCTTCTGTACACCTGCCTTGTCTCCTGTTGGGCAGGAGTCAGCCTCCTGGCACTGTAGTTGTGGCACACTTGGTGTGGGACTCAAGAGGCCATCTGTAAGTTCTCTAGATAGCAATGTGACTGGTGCCTTGTGTGTGTGTGTGTATGTATGTGAACACAGAGTTCATGTGCTGTACCATTTTCTAATGCGCTTCTGTAATTATGTACAGAAATTAATGTTAAGATTTTTAGCCATCGTATTCTTTATGGATGAACACAGAAACATACAAATTATTTTTCAAAATTATGACATACTTGAAATACGCAGCTGTGAAATAACTAATTGCATTCTAGAAACCACGTGTAATTACATGAACTCTCCTTAGTTAATTGTGCATAAATTTTGTTAAGTTATGTCCTATCACGGAACGTTTGTCATGATAAGTAATATTAGAAAGGTGGTTATGCAGTTTGGAGTCTTTTAGAATATAGTAGGTGGTAGTAATTCTAACTTTTAGAAAATAGTTTATTATTCGTTGGCTGGCTGGCTGACATTTTCTACATGTTTGTCTTTTCTGTACTGTGGGATATTTAATTTGCTTTTTAATTTTTTTCTTTGTAGCATAAATGTCTAGTAAATACTGATAACCTTAATTATGTTATAGAATTTCTGCTAACAAATGTAAGGGAATAAACACTTGTTTCATCTTTGTATGAATAGGTTGATATGAACTTCATGAGGAAAATTCCTTCAGGAGCAGAAGCATCAAATGTGTTAGTGGGAGAAGTAGATTTTTTAGAAAGACCTATTATTGCTTTTGTGAGGCTCTCCCCTGCTGTGCTTCTCTCAGGTCTCACAGAGGTTCCGGTTCCTACACGGTAAATAAATGCCTGGAAAGTCTGGCTTTACTTATACAATAAGATAATAATGTTTAAGATCTCAAATAGTTGTAAATTTCTATACATACTCTATTAAGCTCAAGAAATGCAGACTTTTGTTTAATATGATGCCGGTCATTTGCTGCAAAATTTGAAGGAATGAGATCCGCCATAAAATTCTTTGAATGCTTTAAATATATATGATAATGCTGTCTTAAGCAAGTGCAGAAGTTGAAACTGATAGCTGACCTGGAGTAAAAGCAGTGAGTCTTCCAAGCTTGTGTTGCCATTTTAAAGATGGGCATGAAGGTTGTTATAGTTCCCTTCAGCGCGACAGTGGGGAAGAGTCCACTAAGTCAGAAAGTCTGTCTCATCTGAAGCTCTGCTCTTTGTATACAAATACTCTGTATATGAATAACCTAGGTGGTGGAAAAACATACTTTTTTATTATATGCCCAAATCTACATGATTGACACTGGGGTAACCAATCTGCAGCTAATACATTGAAGAATAGGTTTTCAGTCTGCAATATGCCATCCAGCCTGGTGCATGCCCCCCCCCCCGCCATGGGCCTTGCTAGTATACCCCCCCCCCGCCATGGGTCTTGCTAGTATACTGTGGGTATATTTACCACAGATGATCAAAATGTCAAAATGCAGGTCCCATGATGAAGGTAGCAGGTCATTTCATCAGCCATCATGGAGGACACTTCATTTTCTGTGCACGTTGATGTATTGCGTTGTTCTGTGGTGTTTGGCATAAATTTGTACATTTATGTTTTTGGTGTTTTTTTTAAAGTTTTAAGATGATCAAAGTGCTTGTTTATCTTTGTAATTTTCAGCTTATATACTCTAATGAAAGGCAAAAATGATCTTGGCAGTGTTCTTATAAATAGATGTGAGAATTTTCAGAGAGTAGCTGACGTTAGTGCTCATAATGTTTCTTGGGAAATTCCAAAATTTCTGCATACAGGTTATTTTATTAATGTAGCTAAAATTATCCTGTCCTAAACTTTCAGAATGGTCTAGACTTGCAGATTTGGAATAGCATACTTGATTCTGAAGATGCAATCTCAGTTTCAGTTAGGGTAGTCAGCTTGCATTGAGCTTTTTGTACTGTGAGGTGAAAGGAGGCGCTACTTTTTTCAAATGTGTTGTACTTGGGAACTTCATTTTCATGGAGTATAGGAAGAAGGTCGTGAAAAGAATTGCTGAGGTTCACTCTTCAGCTTGTATCCTTTTGAATTTATAAGATAATAGTCCTGTTCAAGTTTAAAAAAAAAAGTGTGGTAACTATTACTGTGATTGGAAATGGAGACTGTCTGTTAAGATATGCTGTGACCCACCCCCAGATTGGATTCCCTTCCCAAAATGTCACTTTTACCTTCTTAGGTGGTCAAAATGCAGGTTCCCTTCCTTTCCACTGACACAGGACCAGGATAGCCTGTATGAGTATGCCCAGTGTGTTGCTTGAAGTATATCTGTGCATCCGCTGTGTGACGTACCCAGTGACAGCAAGTGAGAGGGGTTTGACTCCCGTGAAGAGGTGATCATCAGGGAGGTTAGAACAGGTCATAAAACTCCTAGGCCCTCACTAAGGGGTCTTTGCCAGTGGGAATGTCAGAAAGGCTTGTTATTCGGAGGAAATATTCATTGAGCCCTAGCCTGTGGACTTCTGCTACTTTTAAGGCATTATAAGAAGTTGAAAAATTAGGCTTAATTAAGAAGATTTTGGACTAATTTTGGTTGAGGATTCGTGTTCCTTCCAGTAATGACTTTGAGGCCAGTCTTGTCTTAGTCTTGCAGTAGTCTTTAAGATCTGAAATGGTGAAGAGGATATTTTCACTTCACCACTAAATTTTCTTTAGATATTAGTTTGAAAGAACCCTCTGAATATATTCAAATGAGTCAGCCGTATTCATCGCAATTGCTTTCTCTACAGGTTTTTGTTTTTGTTGCTGGGACCAGCAGGAAAAGCTCCACAGTACCATGAAATTGGGAGATCAATAGCAACACTTATGACAGATGATGTGAGTGATGTATTTTAAACACTTGTAGTTAAAGAAGTCTAGAATAATGTATTTATTGACTGTTTTCAATAACTGTATTCTGGAGTGACAGGTTAAAGAAAAAAAACACAAACTGGTTAAAGGAAGAACTGTAAACTTATTTATTTCTTGTGTTAGTGAACTAGATAATGGTAAATTAACTTTTCCCCTTGACTTTCTTGAAGAAATCCTAAATGTATTTCTGAAAAAATACTTTAGCTTTGGTGTATAGATTTCATTTTTGTATTAAATTAGGAAATAGAGCTATTAAATAGAGCTGCATCTGATGTGAATTGCTGTATGTCGAAAAGGCCATGGCAAACTGCGTGAGCGTTCAGGACAAAAAGTTTAAGAATGCCTGTGATTGAGTCATCACAAATGTTTTTTTTATCAAAGAGAGGTCAAATAATTAAAATTAGAATTTTACTAGGCATTTGAAGTCATATGCTTAGAGCCCTGGTGGACGCTTTTAAAGGGCACAGGGGAATCAGGACTTTTTAAGACTATTGTCATCTTACTGAGCAAAATCAGGATGTTTTACTTCTGACTTTGCATTGAGCGCCACCTACCGAATTGCTGATAATTATTAGGGTTATCTAACAGGAATTTTAGTATTTCTTTACTGTAGAACAATTTAAAGTTTGGAAATGTAAATCAGAAATTGGTCATTTTACAATTGGGCAACTAGTCTGTGAATACAGTATTTGGTCAGTGTGAGAAATGAATGTTAAAAGCTTTAGTTGCAGCTTCTAATTTTTTAGGTAGGCTGATTTTTAGGAATAATGTAGATCACTGAAATAGAAAAATATAAATTATTCAGTGGTCTAAAAAGACCTAAACAGACTTAGAAGATCTCGTTTACAATTAGAAGACTTAATGGTCAGGTCTTTGGAGACAAACAGTTCAGGTTTCAAATGTACAGAAGCAATTTAGGATCATCTTCTGCAAACAGTTTTTTTAATAGCAAAACTAGCATTTTTTTTCTGGCTGTGTATAAAATGCATCTTTGGTTTCAGGGATTTTTTTTTTTTTTTTTAAATACTACCCGTTTGTCAATTCAGAGTTTGTGTTGTAGTAGCCTGTAAAGCAGCATAGGGGTTTTTTTTAAGTAGTAGGAGGATTGCTTTCATGTGCTTTTTAAGAAGTCTTTTAAGATCAATTAAGTTAGAGATATACAAATGAAATTCTTATTCTTAATAAAAACTGTGCAACAAAATGTTGCAGGAATATGCATATAGGTAGTTCTTAACGCAAAAGTATGCAAGTAAAGTAAAAGCCTAACTTTTGAGGACCTTTAAAAAAATCTCCCATGCCTTTTTAAAAATAATGAAGTGTTCCTTGTAACAAGTTCCTCTTTCAAAATAATAAAATAAAAATTAATGTTGGGCACTTCCTTCTTGTAGGTTTTCCATGATGTTGCCTATAAAGCAAAAGACCGAAATGATTTATTGTCAGGAATTGATGAATTTTTAGACCAAGTGACAGTCCTGCCTCCAGGAGAATGGGATCCATCTATACGTATTGAGCCGCCAAAAAGTGTTCCTTCCCAGGTAAAAGGGGGGGGGGGGGGGGGAGGGAGAGACAAAGAAAAATTTTACTTTGAAAATGCCATTTCCAAATGCAAGTAAATTGTGTACTGAATATAAACTTTAGTAAAGCATCAGGAAAGCCCCCACATCCATTTGGAAGAAAAAGTGGATTATCCATTTAAGTTTAAAAAAAAAAAGTGTTAATCAGTTTTCTGCTATGCTTTTAAGTAAATTATATTTACTGTATTTCCTTTTGTAATGCTGAAATGAGTTCATGTAACATCTAGGAGAATTGGTCTGAAATTGTACCCAAGTTCGTATTATAAATTTTATTGTTAATCTAACAATGATCAGCAAGAATGTTGTAATTCTTATAAAAACTTCTATTTGCATACAACATTGATTGAAATGTTTAATGTATATTGGCTAGCATATAATGTTCACAGAATGTTTAAGAAATAGATAAAAATGGATCATATCGCTCAGTTGTGATACAAGCTTAGAATGAGAGCTGGGGGAAGCTGGGACTCTTCATTTCTTCCCTTTCTTCCTCTTTACAGCTGAAAAAAACAGGATCAAAAGTGGGGGGAGAGACCAGTGCTCTTGATTCAGAAGGTTGATGTTGGTGTCGAATCCAGTGGTGGTTTGCCAGAGTGGGTGGAACGGAAGGGGTGACAGCAGTGCAGTTTATTCATGAATAGCCTGAGGCTACCACTTAACTTGTTTCCAAAATAAGCAGGGCTCAGGCGTTTTTGGAAGGCAAGGTTGGCTGAGAAATATATGAGGAGCTGGTGAGCAGCTTGCTCAACAGGGGAATGAGCATTTATACTTCAACTAAATACTGTGTGTGTGTCATAAAGCGAGGTCAGTTTCTGTTCGAAGCTAGAGGCTTCTGCTCTGAAAATGACTGAGGAAAAAAAAAAATCTAAAGATTTCTAGGCCTCATGGTTGAGCCTCTACTGTGTCTTGAAAAGGTCGGTTTTGTTTCATCATGTCTCGGGGTCATGTGTCTTGTAGAAAGGGGGAAAATTAATACTGTTGTGCAAGGTACTAATAAGATCTTTTTGGGAGTGTTGTACAGTTCTAGTCGTCTGTACTCAACAAAAGATGAATTTGGCAAATGGAGGACTGCTGATAAGATGGGAATATGAAAAAGGTTTGGAAGGCATAGAGCCTGTGCACGCTGTCTTTGAATTATACTTTTTAGTGTAAAGGCAGTCTCAAGGTATGATTTTTTTTTCCCCCTTTTTTTTTTTCTGTAGGAGAAAAGGAAGGTACCTAAATTTCCAAATGGATCTACTCCTACAGGAGAGACTCTCAAAGAAGAAGGCCATCATGCTGGACCTGAACTTGAGAGAACTGGAAGGTGTGTTCACTTCCCTAAATATTAGATACCATAAAGAAATAAAAGTGATAAATCTTCACAGTTTTTAATGATGACATTTGAACATAAAAAATCATGGTTTAAGTGTCAGAGCGCATCCTTTTTCCTTTTCAAGTGTTGGATTCTTGCCTATAAATGCCAATCTGCTTAAAGCATTTTCAAGCCTGTGGCAATGTTTCTCAACACATTTGTGAAGGATTTCATATAAGATGCTGCCTGATTTAACTAACTGACTTTTAAGAGTTGGGTTTTAATTATTAATTGTCAAGAGCATGCAATTATCATAATTATATCAGGAATATACAATTTTCAGTCTTGGGCTAGGTACTAAAAATTTCCATTAATGCAAATCTGTTTTATTAAACATGTACAAAATGGAACAACAAGGAATATAAAGTGGCAAAAAATACTTTGGTATTGGTTAGGTTTTCGTTAGGTTTCTTTTAGATCTAAGATAAAATGGAAGGAATTTCTTTCAGTTGAGTTGCATTGTTGTTCTCTGTTAATTCTGAAATACTTGCCAAAAAAGTCCCCAACATTGGAAATATGTGGTTAAGATTAAACCTTAGTATCTCATATGAGAGAGTAGAGATTAAATCAACTGAGAAATTCTGGAAAATATGTACAATGTTGTTATCCCCAAAATAATAAGCTTCTAAATGAAATGCATGTTTCTCACACCTTTGCAAGAAGGACTTTACAACATTTGTATTGATTTTTACCGTTTCGGCTTTGTTATACTTTTTGCCTTTTTGCAGACAGTATGTGGAACTGAGAAGTTAATTTCTGCCCACAGAATTATCTCTAGATTAGACTATTGTTTTTCTTAGGAACGGAATATTATTATTTTTTAAATAATTCAAAATAAAATCAATTTTTTGTAGGTTCAAATTATACCTAGTATTTTGGAGTCTTGAAAATTTTTTGGAAACTGTCAAAAGCTTTTTAATTTCTTGCTAGCAACTTACCCAGTTGAACTGACTTATGTATGTTTGGTTTTGTATTTCCATTTGTAGAATATCTCTGTACTCCAGATGAAAAACACTGTTAAAAATGATAGACCTAAATTTATTTATGGACCTAACCATATGTATGTAGAGAATTCGAATCAAAAAGCTACAACTACTTATTGGAGTAGTAATATTGAAATGTATCAGTGCAGTGGTCTTGGTTGAGATTTAGCATATTTCTTCTGTTCCTTGTTTGGAATATCATAAGACAGATTTGACTTCAAACATTATTTAGGTAAAGTCGTTTGCAAAGATATTTTTTCAGTATCTAGCCCATATACAAAAATACCTAGGCAGCTTTTAAAAATGTGGATAACCTGCTTGATTATATTTGGAATACTACTGAATTGGAATAGATAAGATTCTCATTTACATTTTAAACTGTTATGCTTTAATCTGGATTATGAAATAGCTAATTTGTGCTGGCAGTAGGCACTGGCAGTCATGTGTAGCCCATAGTTTTGAACTAGCTAGAATCCTTTAGTGTACAGTTTGACGAGTTTCATCTCACCTATTTAGGCTTTTTGGTGGTTTGATACTTGACATCCAAAGGAAAGCACCTTTTTTCTTGAGTGACTTCAAGGATGCATTAAGCCTGCAGTGCCTGGCCTCGATTCTTTTCCTATACTGTGCCTGTATGTCTCCTGTAATCACTTTTGGAGGGCTCCTGGGAGAAGCTACACAAGGCAGAATAGTGAGTACAAAGAATGGTAGTGGCCAGGCTTTTAGACCTTCAGAGGCAAGTCACTGTGTGCATTTGTCTCACTTATTTATACTTGTATTTGAAGAATTTACCCACAGCACTTGATTAGCCTGCCCCAAAGCAGATCTTCCCCAAAAGGTAATTGCTGTGGAAAATGTGGGGAACCCATGTGAACAGGAGAAGATGCACAGTGGAGGTAAAAAATGTTTATCCTGCCTTATTGGATGAATGGCTTCATGAATTGAGAAAGGGCTTGCATTGCCTTCTTTTTGGCTACTTAAAAATAATGAATAGCAGTAAAGGTGCACCATCCCACTAGGCCTACTTTAGGCAAAGTCAGAGGCTCAAGGTGGATAGCCAAGAACATGTACTGGCCTTGAGTAGTAGGCCTACGAGGATGATAATGCCTGCAGTGTATGAGTAGCAGTCAATTGTGTATTTAAGTAACGGACAGGATATGTATATGCTTTCACTAATGGTATGTTGTTAACAATAAAAGAAAGTGGCTAAGGTTTATGAGCAGAAAATACTCTTCATTGTAAACGACTTCAATATAAACCATACACGTACAAAATTTTGGTAATGTTACGTTGGGCAGTAGATAACACCAGCACCTTTTTAACCAAAATATCATTGCACTTTGGTTTTTGGAGCAGGGAAAGAATATTTAACATCAGCAATGTTAATAACTTACTGTTTGTGTCAATTGGCTTATGAGTAAACTAGTTTGAAGTGTATTTTCTGTTTTTAAATCTATCACGAAGAAACAAGGCTCTGTCCTTTTAGGGGAGGGAAGGATGTATTCAGACATGTCCTTTACAAATTTCAAGATTCTGATAAAGCTTATGATGCTATAAAATTCTTCTTGATACTTAGATCAAGTTTTTAAGCTTGTACTATATTAAAATTTAGTTAACTATTTTATCTCTTTCAAGTAATGCTGTCGACTCAGATTTTTGTTGATGTAGCACTTCAAGCGGATAGCAAATACGGAAATAAATTATATCTTTCCTGTGTGCTGTTTTTGCCACTCTAAATGTAGGAATGTTTATCAAAATGTCGATGTAATTTTTGAATGTACGTTACGTATAATTATGAAAGTATGTTCCTTTTAAAGCTTGATTCTTAAACACCTTCTTTCTTTTAGCTATCTGGAATTGTTTGCGGGTTTGTTCCTGCCTTCAGATACTTGGTGTGCATCATTGAATGTAAAATTTAGTTACTGCACACACATGTTCAAGCACAGTAGCTGACATTGTAAGGTACACAGTTTGTGTTTGAAACTTTCCCTCACATTCCCAGAGGTCATCACCTTCACAGTACTCTAGTCCCTGCCACCCTGATTGAGAGCCCCAAGGTTAATGCATTGACTAACCAAAAGCACTAATTCAAAGGTATCAGAACAAGAGACTGGGATTACATATATATATATACACTCCCCCCCCCCAATGTAATTAACAAAGGACTCATGTTTTCATTTTTAATAGCCCCAGTTCAGCAAACCATTTTGCCCAATTTTAGATGCTTTCCTGAATTGGAGCTTAAGTTTACATAAAGGTTGTTTTCTTAGGCTTGCATAATTGCAAAACAGCAAACATTTGAAAATTCAACCAGGAACCCTTTAATCTGTAATCCATGACTTCTCATAGTTGTAAATGGTGTAGTTAACTATTTTCAAGTGATTTTAATATCATTTTAGTATCTAAAGTCCTGCCCCTCTCTTTTGAGGTGCACTGTAACTTTTTACTATAACATTTTCTGCTAAAAAAACCATTTAATTCAAGAACTGAAGTAGGTACCTTGCTTCAATGAAAAGAAATGCATTACCAGGTGGGACATTGGTTTACGGCTCATCTATTTTTGGTGTCATGTATACATAAACCAATATTGTTCAGTAATTTCCCTTGCACCTCCACCTGTCAGTTTTTTCTTTTGTAATGCTTGGTTGACTGATGCAGGTTTGATACGGCACACCATATCATGTTTTGGTACAGGTATGTTGCTATATATCTATCTATTGTCTTTACAGAGACAGATAATTCTTTCCGTAAACTACATGTTGAGTAACTTTTTTTTTTTTAAACTTGTAGTAATTGTTGGTATGTTTTTCCTTCATAGCTAGCAGGACTAGTGACTTGTTCTCATGGTTTTGGATGGCTTTATGTTTCTCAGGAGTGAAGTTTTCAAAATCTTTTGTCCATGGTATTGTTACTGCAAAACTGTGTTAAGTTATTGTTGTCTCAAACATCAATGTTAATTGCAGTGTTTTTACATCTTGTCTTGTTTCTAAGTTAATGCATCTTAAAACTGTATTTATGCAGATGTGATGCTAAACGCTAACCTGAAAGGCAGCATAGTTACAGCAGTTTCTTTTCCCCCAAACAGAGCGCGATCGAGTCTCTCTTTGGAGCCTCATTAACTGGGATTGCCTATTCTCTCTTTGCTGGGCAACCTCTTACTATTTTGGGGAGCACTGGACCAGTTCTAGTATTTGAAAAAATATTATTTAAATTTTGCAGGTAAGTGATGTTTGTATTAGCTTGATGCACTTTCTAACTTTCTAGCCTGTTAGAATAGCTGTAATTGAAAGCAGATATGTGTTAAAAGTGGATGTCCATGAGATGTAAGTGCAGTGGCAAGAGACTGAGAGATGGATGTGGTTTGGCAAAGCTGTGAGGCATTGGTAAGCCTTAATGAGAAAATCAGTGATGAGAAGTGCTGGGACTTAAGTAAAAGTTATGTTCTGACTGTGTGGAGATGTTGGCTTTGATTCTGCAGGGGTAAACAGGGATTGATCTACCCTTTTCTAGGAGAAAGCTTCTAGGTGGTTCTGGAAAGATCGTCCCCATGATGCTTCCCAAGCTTAGGTAGTTGCATCTTCAATCCTGGGAACACCTTGCAGTGTTGCTTTGCTTTGGTGGAAGATGAGACAGAAAAGTTTCTGCTTCCTTCAGAACTAACATCAAGGATGAGAAAAGTGGTGAATACCTATAGAGCTTGGCCTCAGTATCTGTTTTCAAATAGAATATCGTATAGGTGACTTTTGGCTCAGTTAATACTTTTGTTTCTTTTTTCACACAGGGATTATGATCTTTCCTACCTCTCCCTGCGAACTAGCATTGGTCTGTGGACTGCATTTTTATGCATAGTGCTTGTAGCCACAGATGCCAGCAGCCTTGTGTGTTACATCACTCGATTTACTGAGGAAGCTTTTGCAGCGCTTATATGCATCATATTTATTTATGAGGCATTGGAAAAGCTTTTTCATTTGGGAGAAGCGTATGCCTTCAATATGCACAACGATTTGAATAAACTGACTTTATATTCGTAAGTATCAAGTTTCTATCTGTTAGTAAAATACATAGGGAAAATGTTTATAGTATAGAGACATATGGTTTACTAAATTGCAATGTGTGCCTCTCCGTGGAAGGGTAGGAGGAATGCTGGGGGTGGTATGGGCATGAGAAACCTCAGAAAAATTCTATTCAGGATGCTGTGGAATTGAATTTTCTGTGTTAACTATGGGTGGTTGGAAGGGATGAGGGGCTGTGACAATGCCTGCTTTAATTGCAGCTTTATTAAAGGTCAGCCTGGAGATTAAAAGTCAGAACAGGAGTTTTGCCTTGCCACTTTAGAAATCATGATAGTTTATCCCACCTGGGTGAGGATTATTTCCAGGTAGCTGAGGCATGGAGAGCTTCTGCAACTTTCACATGCTATGAATGCGGAGTTAACATCTTTAAACAGTGTTTCTTTCTACTGGAATTATGAGGGATACTTGCCTTTTAAAAAAATTACTTTTTGAGAGAGAGGAGAATAATAGAAATACAATACAGCTGTATTTTTTTTTCTTTCCCAGCTAAGTAGAACTATTAGTTCTGTTCATCACAGTAACTAGCAGTAAAACTATCAGTACAAAAATAACTTTATTTCATTTAAGGAATGCGATAAGCAAGCTATTTAGGTGTGTCTTTTTTACATTTAATTTATTTCTGTGGCAGTTGTATATTATCTACCTGTGGTGTGTTGACCTTGGCTGGACACCAGGTGCCCACCAAGCCGCTCTATCACTCCCCCTCCTGAGCTGGACAAAGGGAGAAAAATATGACGAAAGGCTCATGGGTCAAAATAAGGACAGGAAGATCACTCAGCAATTACCATCATGGGCAAAACAGACTTGACTTGGGGAAATTAATTTAATTTATTACCAATCAAATCAGAGTAGGGTAATGAGAAGTAAAAACCAAATCTTAAAACACCTTCCCCCCACCCCTTCCTTCTTCCTGGGCTCAACTTCACTCCTGATTTCTCTACCTCCTCCCACCAAGTGGTGTAGGGGGACAGGGAATGGGGGATGCGGTCAGTTCATCATGACTGTTGTGTTTCCACTCCAAGATCTCTCCTCACTTTTACAAACGTTCATGCATCTTTGGTACTTCCTTTCAGGATGATTCCTCCCCCCCCCAAGTCTTTTTGTAGTTCCTTTGTTACTATTTAATCCAGCTGATGGTCATCATCTTCCTCTTCAACGTGATCAGTTTTGGGCAAACACCCTCTCAGACTGTTTCTTGTATTCCTTTTACACATGGCATTTACACTCACTTTCCTGTCTTAACAGCTGTTAAGACCAGGCCATGTTGCCAGAAGTGGGCCATGGGAGTATGCTCACTTCCTAATTTCCCCCTTTCTTTTGGCTGCTCATCCTTCTGTTTCAGTGGCTCTGGGACCTCATGGGACTCCCATGTGAGCATGCTAAATTCGCTAATCTGGCAGAAACTGTACTGTAAGTCTTCTGACCCTTGCCACCTGATTGTGTTTTGCTACGCTAGCATAGGCAGGCCATGAGGGTGGAGAGAGGAAGGTGTGACATTTCCTTGGTTTAGCTCTGTGAGGTGTCACACATGTCTTTCAGGGCATGCCACAGACTTCAGCTTTGGTTTGTCCTATATTTTTTTTTTCTGTCACAAAACTGTAGGCGATCCGGCCTTTTATAATTGCTTTTTATTTTCTCCCCCCTTCCCCCCCCCACCAGAAGACAGTCTCAAATACTCTTACGTTTTCTGTTTTTTCTTTTTCTTCCTGTATTTCCACTTATCTACTTGGTGGCATCCTTTGTCTTCACTGCATTTGTTGAGAAATTTGTCTGTCAGTCTTCCTTCGGCTTGCTTGTTCATGTTACTGCTTTAACCAACTACTAAAGATGCTTTCTTTTCATCTCATCATACTTACTGTTGCAATTCCTTTCTCTTCTGCTGATTCTTAAGTCACTCTGCAACTACCTTATAGGAATTACTGCTTTCCAATCTTCTATTTCCTTTTGCTGTCACTTTAGGATTCAGTTATCAAAAGAAAGTATATTTACTTCTGTATTTTTTTTTAAAGTTCCCTAAACATTGTGCTTCGCAAATTTAGATTCTTTTTGCCCATGCACATTTAGTCCTTTTTCCTTCCTTACCTTCATGCTATCAGGATGCAAGTTTGCCCTTCCATGGTTCTTTGTTTGTTTTTCAGTATCTTGATGAATCTCACAGGAAAAGAGTTATTTCTTGCTTATTATCTGTTTCTCCTCTTCTGTATAAATGTTTATGTGTTAAGCTTATAGTTTGATGTACTTGAATAGCTTTATTTGAAAACATCCCATTAAATTGTGGTGGTGGTTTGTTTTTTTTTTTAACAACTGATGTGTACTTTTGTCAACCTGTCTGACAAAGGATTCCACAGTCCAAGTTTGCAAACCACTGCAGTAGGGAGGGGCACTTTTGCTTGTTCGAAAAGTTACTAAAAATGCATGTATGCAGTTGCTTTAAATCTGAGCAATTCATGCATTTATATCTTCAGTTAGCCGACTGCATACTCAAAAATGGTGTCTTAATTCAGGTCATGTGTGGATTGGAAGGCATGCCAAATGCAAGATAAATGGCTAACCCTACCAAAATTTTAGAAAAGACTTGGAAATGTCTAGAGGCTAATGACATGTCTGGTTGAAAAGGAGTTGCTGAAACTGTGTCATCTACACTAATTTTTTAAGGGAAATGGTTTCAATCTCTATTTTATGTTAGTGTACAGTAGGACTACTTGAAGTTTTAATCACTGTGGGACGTTATGCTGTATAGAAATCTAAAAACCTTAATTTGTACGCGGTCATAGAAAACTATTTGCGCCAAGTTAGTCCAATTATGTAGAAATCTTTAGAAATAACACAATATATATTATTATAGGGTTGTTAGAAGGCGGTGTCATTTGGATTTTTATCTTCCTCTTTTTATTCACAATATGTAGAAGTCCGCATATATTATCTATTTCATTTTCTTTTTCAGGTGTCATTCTATTTAAAAACTGGCAGATCAGTCATATAGTTAAATCAACGTCTTGCCTGCTTCTAATTCGTTAAAATACATAGTTTGGTTTGCTTGGTCCAATCTGTTAAACCTCCTGAGCAGTCACTTCTTTGATTCTTCATCTCTCCTCCCCCCCCCCAATCCTAGCTCATGTCATGTAAGGAGGAGTCTTGTACTCTGCTGCTTTCATAGATGGCTGGGCTAAACTCTGGTCTAAACTCTCCAGGATTTTTGAAATTACTGCGAATAGCTGCATTTTGGCACATACAGCTTGAAAGCATGTAAATTATTTTTTTTCTTCCCTTCAGATGTGTGTGTTCTGAGCCTGAGAAACCCAGCAATGAAACTTTGCAGGTGTGGAGGAGTATGAATAAGTCTGTGGAAAATATAACATGGAGTAACCTTACAGTTTCTGTGAGTATCTAAAAGCTATGTATATATATGTGTGTGTATATAAGTATGTATGTATAAAAAATAAATACCCACACATTACCAGTCTTGATTAATAATTTTCATCTAGTTTCTTTCTTGATTTGAACCTCGACTGTTTTCTTTAAAACTGTATTTTTGAACTCTCTTATTTCTCCCATAATGCTTTAAACAGTCATGGTAGTGGTTTGGATGAACAAGTCCATGGCAGTAAATACTAATGTCTGCTTGAGGTAGCCACTTTAATCCTGCTAAGCAGAACAGTCGTCTTTCTGAAGTGCAGATGAATATGATGAGGTGAATAAACAGGAGATTGCTCCCTTCAATTTCCTGGAAAGGATGAATAAATATTTTTAGGAAGATGTGGAGATGGAATCTGCAGTTAAAATGTGGTAGCAAACATGTTTCATTAGTTTGTTAGATATTGGTATAAAACTACAACAGAATCAAAGAAACTACCTAAATATTGATTGGAAGAAAATAATTATTTGGAAAATTGAAGGTTAAAAGAAAAGGGGAAGAACTATTTGAAGGAATAGGCTTGAAAGCATTACTTTCTGAACTGGATATTTCATAACAATACCTAATTTTGTGGGCAGGTGAAGCGGAGGAAAGTTTTATCATGTGGAAGTGATACTGAAGGCTTTTAGGAAGAAACATTTTTGCTGATTAGTAGTTCCTTGGGTGTGATTCAGTTGCCTAAATGCAGCTGTCTACAGCTGTTTTACATACCCTGGCATCTGGTTTCCACGTACATCTTGAATGATTTGCATCTGCTATAGATTGTGGTGCGTTTGCTAGCTGCGGTGCGTTTGCTAGCTGCGTGTGCCTACTTTGGCCATCTTAGGCTATCTAAAATGGCAGTAGATACCCGTGTATGGGCTCTCCTTGTGTGTGAGCCTAGGTGTTCACACTGAAAGTAGGAGGTGTTTTGCACAGCACAAATACTATGAAAAACCTCAGTGCTTTACTTGAGTTTTAGCGGTAGTGTTTTCTTTGTACCACCAATGGCTTCTAGTCTGCCATAATCACCTAGGATGGCAGTTTCTCTTGACCTTAGTTTTTATATTTATTTTATATTAATTTATTTTTATATTATTTATTTTATATACCTTTTCATTCCTTAAGCATCTTTAGTCTTCCCAGAGAACTGATCCAGAATTTGGTGGTGCTTATAATCAAAGTAGATTGTTAACAGGGAGAATTTTTGTCATAAGTTAAATTTTCGGTAAATTAACCTGTTTAAAGACTAGGTTGTGGCAGTGCTGCTTCCAACTATTTGATTTATTGGCTTGTTGTTTCCTTGTACTCCATGTGTCTACTTTAATTCTTTGCTTTGCATTTCAGTGAGCCTTTTGGATAGGGATCATCTGACTTTGTTTTCTTTTTTATTCAAATTCATTGTTTATGATGCTTTTCTACTTTACTAGAATTTTTTTCCTTACAGTTGGGTTAATCTCATTTTGTAAGAGTTTTTTCCTTAACTGTATCAGGACAAAACAAAGTCCAGAATAAAGAGGTGGGAGAAACTGAGGAGATCTCTTTTTTTGGTGTGGGTGGGGTTGTTTTTGTTTTTGGTTTTTTTTTTTTTTTAGTGTTTGTCAGCTGGAAAGTTGACGTTGGATAGGCTGCTTTTCATGAGCTTAGTCCTCAGTCTTTATGCATTCAGTCTTGTGATGCTTTGAGAAATAGAATAGAAATGAGGTGAATGTAAAGAAGTTGTTTCTTCTTGGGCACCTCCCAGCATTTTGGCATCCAGACATAATCGGTGATGGACACTGTGGCTCTTCTGGAACAGACAGCACACAATTTTGGCATTTCAGGATGAGGTAGTGATGAAGGAAAGAACCCCTTTTTTGGGATTGTGAAAGTTCTCAGGTGTGTTTTATATTGAAAGGCTACAAGTTAGATTGAATGTACTAAATGAATAAAACAGAAATTTAAGGAGTTTCTCTTTGCAGGAATGTTTAGAACTTCATGGTGCATTTCGTGGACCAGCTTGTGGCCATCACAGACCATATATTCCAGATGTTCTCTTCTGGTCTGTCATATTATTCTTTACAACATTTTTCCTCTCCTCTTTCCTTAAGCAATTCAAGACCAAACGCTATTTCCCAACTAAGGTAATTCTGATTAGAGACTATTGTTATCTTGTGATAAATACATTAGTATAACTTAAGAGTTGAATTTTTTATTTTGCTTCAGAACTTTTTATTGAGAGATTTCTTTTAAGACAGAAAAAGAAATTAAAAACAGAAAATTGGCTAATAATTCAAAAAATGAAGACATTGGAGTAAATAAATTGGCTGCTGAAAATGCAGTGCTTATTCTCTGCTTTCCTATAGTTACAACAAGATGTTCTAAACATTAGAAGACCTAAGCAGTCTGTCTCCCGATATTAATGGGTATTGCCAGGTATCATTTGGAGAGATAATATTGCTGCTGTTTTCCTCACCTAGCTGTACAGAGCAATTGATTGCTTTCCCCAAACTGCTGACCTATGAAGGGTTCTGAGCGGTTCCTCAGGGGATTACTATTTCTAATAGAGCCTAATATAATGATTATCCTTGGACTGATTTGCACAACTTACTTCTGCTAGCCAAAATAAAATGGTTAGATCTTGTCTAAACCTCAGCTGATCCCTACAATGTGTTCCTAATGTTTAATAAAGCCACCTTTGATAGCCTGAATCTGTTGCAAATTGTCCCCCTCCTATCTAGTAAAACATCAAATGCATGAATATTAATTTCAGAACAATTCAGTGATGTCTTTGAATTAAGCTACAAGAGACTAGCTGTGATGGCCCAGCCTCCCAGTAGGGTTGAGAGGACAGGAAGATAAGGAAGGAGTTACTTTAAGTAATTTGCTGCTTGCAGTAGATCACTTTAAATGAGATAATTGTTGTACAGAATACTTACCTTCTGCAACTTCATGCTATGCTGGCAGGCAGCTTAAATTTTAAAATAAAAGGAGAAAATATATACAATGTTCAGTGGTGTAGTATAATATAAATAGACTTCACTATTCATAGGGGAGAAAACTGACTTTCTGTACATGCAAATTGTAATGATGAAAAAGCAAGAGTTAACACAAGTCTTTTCTTTATAGGTGCGTTCTACCATTAGTGACTTTGCAGTATTTCTGACCATAGTTATCATGGTTTTGATTGACTATCTTGTAGGAGTACCTTCTCCTAAGCTTCACGTTCCAGAGAAGTTTGAAGTAAGAAATAAAACCTTTTAAAAAACTTAACTTTTTAAGTGCTTGACTGCCAAAAGACAGTAGAACAACGGAATTGTATAGAAACAGAAATTTATCTTTTCTACTTACAATGTAGTTGATGAAGTAATCTCCCTTTTCTGTTTTGGATGTATATCTCATCTGACAGAAGAGACTATGCTTTATATTCTAATATCACTGAAAAGGAAGCATTCTTTTGTGCAAATGTGCAGAAATGAAGGAATGGAATGGATTTGTTTTAATTTCTTCCCTATAAATGTCACATTCGCATGTAACAGCTAAATCAGTCTTTTGGTTAAAGTCATTGGAAAAAAAATCTAAACACATATTTAAGAGACTGTTGATCTGTTTCTTGCAGCTATTTGTATCAATAAAATTAGCATGTTATCTTAGTTGTTTAATTCTTATTGTTGATGTTTGTTTTTTCAGCCCACTCGAAAAGACCGAGGGTGGTTCATAGATCCTCTTGGAAGCAATCCTTGGTGGACGCTCTTGATCGCTGCTGTTCCTGCTTTACTCTGTACCATTCTCATTTTCATGGATCAACAAATAACAGCTGTTATTATAAACAGGAAAGAGCATAAGCTGAAGGTAAAAGTCATTTTCGCAAAACTCTAATGTTGTGTAAGTCAAGTTTATTTTAAATCAGATTCATTCTGCAAGTCTGTGAAGCATTACCAACAGCTACTAAATAAATGTATATATTGACTAATAAAGAACAAATATAATCTTGTGGATGCTCTCAAAGTATCTAGCTTTTGCAGTTATCTGTTACTTACCAGCTAAGTTATAAACACGGTATCGTATAAATAGAAAGTTTATCAAATGATTTGTTTGCTTAATTTTACAGAAAGGCTGTGGTTATCATCTTGATCTGCTCATGGTTGGTGTTATGTTGGGGATATGTTCTATCATGGGCTTACCATGGTTTGTTGCTGCAACTGTCTTATCTATAAGTCATGTTAATAGCCTGAAAGTTGAATCTGAATGCTCAGCACCAGGAGAGCAACCAAAATTTTTGGGAATCCGGGAGCAGCGAGTGACAGGATTGATGATTTTTGTCCTGATGGGGCTGTCGGTGTTCATGACCTCTGTGTTAAAGGTAAAAGACAGTTTTTCCAAAATATTTGTATTTTCTCTGTGCTTTTGATTTTGATATTGTGATTTAGCATTTTATAATGTTAAGAAGTTTTATTATGTTAAGTAAAATATGCCTGGACTCATTCTCAAATTGCCTTTTTAACAACAGGTGTTAGTTGAATAGAAACGATGGGGGGAGATGAAAGAAAATGAAATCTGAGCAAGCTAGAAATGTAGTAAATAGTGAAGAAAGCAACCTTTGTCCATGTTACCTGATTTTCTTGCCAGCTATTTTTTAGTTTCTCAAGTGCATGTTACCTAAAATAGTTCTGTAGTTTTTATGTGAGTGCCTAAATGGAGAGAGAAAAGGAGTGTGATAAAGATACACAGTTACTTGAGCAGAAGTAATATAATATAGCAGAAGAAACAGAAACATCTGGTTTAAAAAGTGATCATCAGAAGCGACAATGTTCACTTCTCATTCTTATCTTCAGCTTATTAAACTTCCTTTGATGTTTAAAGTGTCAAGATTATCTTATGCATCATCACAGTGTAACAGAGATTTTTGCAGGTAGTATTGTGGCCTCAGTTTACACTTTGCTTCTTAATTATATCTGTAATTCCCTTCTGAAGACTTTATTGGAAGAAAACCAAACAGTTCAGCTGGCTTTTTGCTCAGATTTGAGTAAAATTCGTTCAACTTCTGCTTTGTTGTTTCAAATCCAGTAGTTAAAAGGAGAAATGAAAAAACTGCCAAAATAGCAGATACGGCATAAATTGCATAATTGCTAATACTTTTAAAGAACTTTATAGAAGTCTGTTTAAAGACAGCTCACAAGTCATTTCACAGAAAGGTAGCTTCTAATGGCTGTTCAAGTTTAGATAATGGGAAGAAAGAAACCTATAAACACACAGCTATAGTTTAGTAATTAGAGCTACATATTACAAATTCTTAATAGTTGACCATTTGTATGTGTTAAAGAATGTAAAGGTCTGAAAACAATAAGGCAGTAGCAGTTATTAAAAATGAGTATTCAGATTTGACAATCTGGTTGAAAAGCTAGCAAGAGCTCAGCTGTATAATGCAAATGATCAGAATCAGAAGCAAAAATATTGAAATAGATTTATTGTTGCTCAAAAGCAAAAGATAAAGGTGCTGATTGCTGAAGTGAGGTGTTTACCCCACGTTTTAACAGCTGATTCTTAGAAACTAAGACTTCTATTTTTTATGGAACCAACGGTAATAGGAATGGAATTATTACTATTTGCTCTTTATGAAATGTTTTTCTTCAATGTGAATGGCTGTTACTGTTCGAAAGGAAGGAGAACAAAGCCTTGCATCTGTAGGTTGCTGTGCTTTTGTTCCATGTATGGATTTATACTGATTTAATGCAGTAGAAGTTAACATAAATGAAGTACTAGCATGTCAAATTATAGAGGTTACAGTGAAGACACTAGCGCTTTTTTTTCCCATACACACACGTATATATGCAGTAATGAATCCCTAAGGCATAGTTTTATTCTACACTATTTAAGTTTCAGTAAAGGCTTTTGTTCAGGCTTGATAGCAGCAGTTTTTATTAAGATTTCAAATTGTGTCTTGGCTGTCCTTTTACTCAGGAGTTTCATGAATTCAGGAGCAAAGACAGCTTTTCTTGCTTTGTGTAGGCTGCAGAGGTTTGATGCAAGTGCCACTGAAATCGGTGGACAACTTCATTATCTTAGTAAGCTTTAAATTGATCTGCTTATCGGAGCAAAATTTAGCCCTTAATAATTAGCGGATTTTCATAGCTCAGTAGGTATGGTGGGTTTTTGTTTCATCTTGCACAAATGCAAGATTAGTGATCAAAAGCAAAACTTCATATGGCAATTTCATGAAGTTGATAGTCTCACTACAGTTCCTATCAGATAGCAACATAAAGCAGCATACTTAGCATTAATAGAAATCTTGGTTGCCACCTAAAATTGAATGAATAGGCAGTCAGGACTGAACTACTTTTTTAATCCTGGTGGTAGCCTTGTTAGCTCTAGATTTTTTTGCTGCTCAATGATGCATATATTTTCTCTGTATTTATAAAGAGCCTCGGCTTTTACAGACTTCACTTAAGTAAAATATAAAGTAAAAAAAATAACTTGGTCCATGTCTTTCATTAATACTTACTGCTATCTTATGCCATGTTGATTTCACAAGTGACTGTGTGGGTGTTTTTTCCTCCCCAGTTTATTCCAATGCCAGTTTTGTATGGTGTCTTTCTTTACATGGGAGTATCTTCATTAAAAGGCATTCAGGTAAAGTCTGATTTTAATGAGCAATTTGCTTTTGTTTAACACTAAATAAAAATGAAACTGTAACACATTACTTTGTGAGCAACAATAAAGTTAGCCCATATTGTCTGAATAGCATGTAGGATACTTTCCTGAGTGTCATGTTCAGATATTTGTTCTTGCCGTGTTGTGCCTTCACTTCAGTTCTTTTGCATTTAGTCTTTCAGTAGTGTAGCTGAGCAACAAACTTTCTGAAATATTCTGAAATTTTGTAGTAGTAATGAGAGGCGGGGAAAAAAAGCCAACAAAACAGCCCCCAGCCCCACGTCCTTGAATATTCAGTGCCCTTCATTAGTATTTTATTTGGGATTAACTTATGTTTCTGGAGTCCCCTAAAAATGTTTATTTCTTTCTGGAGGGGAAGAAAATAATTAACTGAAGGATGATTTTATTTTTCAATGCAGTTTTTTGACCGTATAAAACTGTTTGGAATGCCTGCGAAACATCAGCCTGACCTGATTTATCTACGTTATGTGCCACTCTGGAAGGTCCATATCTTTACAGTTGTTCAGCTCACTTGTCTTGTTCTGTTGTGGGTGATTAAAGCCTCTGCAGCTGCTGTTGTTTTCCCTATGATGGTAAGTTACCTGTTTTACAAGTTAATAATTTTCCAAGAGCACGTGCATCATCCAGGATCCCTTCAGAACATATTTGCTGCCTTAAGAAAGAGGGGAGTTGGAAAGAAACAAAAGAACCCTTAATACAATTGTTCACTTTTGAAACACAAGGACTTTTCATTTCCTGAAAATAAGCAATTCAGTTGTGAATAGCTATTGATAGTGGAAATTATTTAACTTCATGTTAAGATAAAACTAATACTACAAAAAAAGGCTTCAGTTAAAGATTCTGAATATACTGAAAGTGTGTGTGTGCGTTTTTGTTCATTTAAATAGTTTAATATAAATGATTCCATTTCTGGTTCCCTTAAGGTTCTGGCATTAGTGTTCATTCGCAAGCTCATGGATTTATGTTTCACCAAAAGAGAGCTTAGCTGGCTTGATGATCTTATGCCAGAAAGTAAAAAGAAGAAAGAAGATGACAAAAAGAAAAAAGAGAAAGCAGTAAGTGTGAAAACAATCAAACTAAGCATGTAGTAAATTACTAGAATATACTTAATAAGACTTAAAAGAATTTCAAGTGGCCTGAGCATATGACCTTATATACCAAATAGACATTTTGAAATTCTTTACTAATGAGATTTAATGCTAGAGGAACTATTACTGGCAATTAAGTTAAGGAAAAGTCACTGTTTCAATGATGCTATTATGAACTATGACTCTTATTTGTGATTAAAATTAGCAAGCAAAGTGGAAGGAAGCAGTTTTTAGCACAAAATGTTGTTTTCTGTGTCTTTCATCAGGTTAGAAGGTGGGTGTGGATGGGAGAGAAAAGCAGTGGAGTAGGGATCTTTACCCTGCTTAAATTAATCACAAAACTGTTCATATCAGGGACATTTGGCTTGTGTGTCTTTGCAGAGCTGTAGTTAAAACCAACAGCTAGTTACGAATCATATAGTAATATAGCTTGTATAAATTCTCCATAAAAGTCTTATTTAACTGTACATCAGCTAGCTGAATTCCTTACAAAACTTGTAAGACCCTCCTTCCCCACTCCCCCATCCCCGTACCTGGATAAAACACTTCTAAGAAAAAAGGTCGTAAACTATACCTCCTGCATTCAACTCGAGTACCTACGGGGAAATGCGCCTTACCCTTATGAAAACTAACTGTCAGCATGAGATACTTCCTTGATTTCTGCTGCATGAGCAATTTTATAAACTTTTTACTTGGAATTTACAGGAAGCAGAGAGAATGCTTCAGACAGGGGACAATGAAAGTGTACATCTTGCATATGGAGAAGCAAATTTGGATTTTCCTGTAAAAAACCTAAAATACAGGTATAATAAAATGTTGGTCTTTCAAGAGTTTTTGTATCACGTGCTGTAATTTGCTTTATATTAAATTGGTTATGTAGGAGTTGAATTAATTTTTTTTCCCAAACTTGTAACTCAGCCATGATTAGGAAGTATGAAGGTATATCTCATGGTGCTATAGTAGCGTTTTTATGTTGCATTGTTCTTTAAAACTGCATCTTAATTATAAATTTACATGACCATCTTGAACAGATCAGATGACTCAATTTCGACCAGCTGTACTCAAGGTGAAGAAGCTTCCTTGGTCAGTTTTCATGGAATACTTGTGTGTTACTGTGCATGAAATACCAAGTATTAAGCAACTAATAGCATCAGTTGAGCCGTGTGTTTACCAGCCACTTGGATTTTTCAGAAGTCGTCTAAGTGTGCAGTTCTTTGATGGTTTATTTAATTGAGGGCTAAAGTCTATAATTTCTGTGATATAAAAAAAATGTTTTACAGGCAGCCATTTTTACTTTAAAAGGTCATTTTCTGAAAGTAAATGTGAGGAGAGGATTACTAGTTCTCTTCCAGAAAAGGAAGTGCTGGAATTTCACTGATGGAAAGTTCCTCCAGCACTGGAAGGCGTTTTGTCCCAGTATGTATCTCCCTTACTGGGGATGTATTCAGCTGAGTTGTCAGGTATTCTACAACTGTTCAACACACCCAGAAGATGTGACAGATAAATAGCTTGCCAGCTTTTTTTGCCTCTCTAATACTAAGGGTTCCTAGGTTAAAAATTGGCTTTCCTGGGTAGTGTCAGGCCTACCCTGATCTGAGTTGGGAACAGGCAGATTTTTGGATTAGACAGC